TTGCGTGTGTTCTAAAAATAAAGTTCGTTTCTGCTTGACAAGTGGCTCATGAATTGTGCCCAGCCAGACTGCGTCATTTGGTGGCCCTCATGGGGAACGAACCCGCGACCTTAGCGTTATCAACACCAAGCTCTGATGAATCCAAATTTAAAAAGTTTAGAGTAAAAAGGGTTATTTTAAGTTTATCTTTGGGGGATATATACCCCTTCCCAATTCCCTCTTTTTGCTTTAATAAGTACATTTTAATAGTTTGATGAGCTCTTTCAACTATGCCTTGTCCCTGTGGATTGTATGGGATTCCTGTTATATGAGTAATGCCAAATGATAAGCAAAATTGTTTAAAAGAGGTAGAGGTATAGCCAGGACCATTATCTGCTTTTAACTGTTTTGGAACACCTACAGTGGCAACATTTTGTAAGCAATGAGCTATAATATCTTTAATTTTTTCTCTGGTATGAAGGGAACCCATCAAAAATCCGGAAGAAGTATCAACTGTAACATGCAAATATTTTAATTTTCCAATTCTGGCAAATGTGTGATGTCCATCTGCCAAATATGATTAGGTATCAGTCCTCTATGATTGACTCCAAGATTAACTTGTGGTAAAAAGGTTGCACAATTTTGACATTGTTTTATTATTTGTCTAGCTTGTTCCTTAGTTATTTTAAAACGCTTTTGTAAAGTATTAGCATTGACATGAAACTTTTTATGAAAATTTGTAGCTTCTTCTAGTGTAGAGAAAATATGTATGTCATGAGTAGTTTTATCTGCTAAATCATTGCCCAAACTAAAGGCTCCAGGCAATCCTGTATGGGCCCTGATATGTCCTATAAAGAATGGATCTTTTCTGTCCCAGATTAGACTTTGTATAGTAGAAAACAAAGAGAAAACAGTAGAGGAAGGGGAAATCCTACCAGCATCTTCAAGGGATACTATAGCATTAACTATATACTGACTATCGGAAAATAAATTAAATACAGAATCTTTGAACATCACAAAAGCTTGTAATACTGCATTAAGCTCTACCTTTTGAGCTGATTGTTTGGGTACTAAAAATGTAAAAGTTTGATCAGGGGTAACTACTGCTGCTGTACCATTATTTGACCCATCAGTGAATACATTTGGAACATTCATGATAGGTGTTTTTCTTGTCATTTTTAGAAAAATTACAGGATGTGATGACCAAAAAGACAACAAAGGATTAGATAGATGGTAAGTGGTTATCAAATGAAACATTAGATTTGCACATGATTATTGCCCAAGTATTTAACTCATTAGCTAACTCATCAATTTGATCCATAGTAAATGGATTAATAATTTTATTGGGAGAAATTCCAAACACTCCCTTTGCTGCTTTTATTCCTTTGAGTATTAATTGTCCTACAGCCTCAGGATACCTAGTAAGAATAGTGTTAGGAGAATAAGATAAATGTAAAATCCATAATAATGGACCTTCTTGCCAAAATACTCCTGTAGGAATATTTTTTGTTGGTAGTACAATAAATAATAAAGGCAAACTTATATCAATTCTATCCAAATGCATATTTTCCATATATGTTTCAATAATTTTTAATGCCTTTCTTGCTTCAGGCTTTAACATTCGGGGTGAATTTGGATCTGATGGACCTTTTAGGATATTAAATAAAGGTCCCAACTCTCCTGTTGGTATACCTAGATAAGGCCTTATCCAATTTATGTCTCCTAATAACTTTTGAAAGTCATTAATTGATTTGAGTTGAACTATTCGTATTTGAATTTTTGGTGGACGGACCATGGTTGAGGATAATAGAACTCCTAAATAATTAATTGGAAAATTTAATTGTACTTTATCTATTGCTATATCTAGATTATAATTTTTAAATAAGTTTGTCAGTGTGGCATAACATTCTAGCAATGTGTTTTTATCTTTGTGTGCTAATAATACATCATCCATATAGTGAAATATTTGTAGTTCAGGATTTTGATTTCTAAGTGGCTGGATTACTTTGTTAACATAAATTTGACACATAGTTGGGCTGTTAGCCATCCCTTGAGGGAGTACTTTCCATTCATATCTCTGATCAGGACCTTCATGATTCAGTGCAGGGATAGTAAATGCAAAACGTGGACTATCCTCAGGATGAATTGGAATTGAAAAAAACAATCTTTAATATCTATAACTAAAACATACCAGGTTTTTGGCAAAGCAGACAATTGAGGAATCCCCAATTGAGCAGGTCCCATAATAACCATCTCATTATTAATGGCTCTTAAATCTTGCAATGTTTCCTTGTGTGTGTGTTCCTTAATATTTCTGTATATAAGGTCACAGAACTGTAAAGAGACTTCTGTTTTGGATGGCTCTTTTTTCCCCCCTATTCTTTCTTCTTGCCTAATTACCCAGGCTAAATATTCCAATAAAATATTAACTAGAATTGGTGAGAGCAGATGGCTTTGTCTTATCACTGATCTTATAAGGGAAAAAATTAGTGTTTCTTTTTTAAGTATGATAATTCAGTTTTTATTTTTTAAGTATGACGTTAGCTATGGCGTTTCTACTTTTTTTAGTTGTGTGGTTTTCTGAAATGCCTTTTATCAGGTTAAAGAATTTCTTTTCTATTCCTATTTTTTTTAATCATGAATGGGCACTAGATTTCAGCAATCAAAAATTTTTTTCTATCAAAATCATATATATTTTTGTCCTTTATTTTATTAAATGGGACATTACATTAATCAATTTTGGGATACTAAATCAACCTCATATTCTTGCAATAAATCCCACTTTGTTATGGTATATATATTTTTTATATGTTGCTGAATTTAGTTTGCAAGTGTTTTTTGAGAATTTCTATGTCTATTGCCGAAAGCTCAGTCCTTGTCCCTGATGCCAATCCAATAAAGAGGACATGGTTTTGAGAAAAGGGAAAAAGTTTTATTGCTCTGCTAGCAAAGGCAAAACACAGGGGATTCCTGTCCCAAAGGCTGTGATTCTGCCCATCGACAGAACAAGGTGGCTTTTATAGAGGTGATTCAGAGAAAATGAGATTTGAAAGGAGAGATCAGGGAAAAGAAGATCAGGGAGGAGAAGGTTAGGGAAATGAAGATCAGTGACAAGAAGATCAGGGAGAAGAAGGTTGGGGGGAAAAAGTAAGTTTCATAGCCACAAGAGATATAGTCAATGATTCAAGGGAATGCTTGTTACATGTTACATATCTATTCATAAGGAATATTTCTCTGAAATTTTCTTTTCTTGTAATTTATTTACCTTCTTGAGTTCAAAGTAATCCTTGCCTTATGGAATGAATTGCAAAGTGTTCCCTCCTCTTGTATATTTTGAAATAGTTTCTGAAGGAGTATTCTTTAAATGTTTGGTGGAATTTACTAGTGGAGCCATCTGATCCTAGGTTTGACTTTGTGAATAGTATTTTTTCGTTCTTATTCAGTTTCTTTACTTATTGTAGACATATTCAGAGTTTTAATTTTTTTCCTAGGTCAGTTTAGGTGGTTTGTGTCTTTCTAGGAATTTGTTCTTATCTATGTTATCTAATTTGTTAGCATACAGTTGTTTGTTGTTTTCCTACTTACTCCTGTTATCTCTGTAGGGTTGTTAGTTATGTTTCTTCTTTTATGTTAATAATTTGAGTTTTGTCTCTGTTTTCCCCTTAGGTAAAAACAACTTCTAGTTTCACTAATTTTTCTCTATTGATATTCTGTTAATTTTTTTCTGATCTTTATTATTTCTTTTATTCTGCTTGCTTTTTGTTTAGTTTTCTCTCCCTTTATTAGTTTCATGCCTCTAGTCTTGTCCCACCTTTTCCAATTCATCTTCTTCAACTGTTAACAAATTTGTGTATCCAAATCACAAATATGATGACGTCATTCAGATACTTAAAATCTTCTAATTGTTTCCATTTCTTACAGCATAAAATTCAAATTCTGTGGAATGGCATAGAAGCTCATTTTTCATTTTAATCAGTTTACCTTACTAATCATCTAGAAATAAATGTATAGACACACACAAACACACACACATATTCACAAATATACATAAACACTTCTACATACACATATACTCATATATAAATACACAACAATGAATGTGTACATATATGTTTGTGTGTATATACATGTGCTTTCAATTTATTATGCTCCCTGACTTGTTAAAAAAAAAAATTCCTTAATTCCAATCGCCCACGATTGTTGAATAGTTATTTCCTCTTCCCTGTTACCACTGCACCTAGCACAAACCTCTTTCAGAAGAACACTTACTAAACACTGTTAGCTATTGGAAATAGGTTGATACACTTACTAAACACTATCTACTGACACATGCATTCATCATTGTTCTGTGAATTCCATAATAAGAGATCCTATCTTACAAATTAGGTCCCAAGAGCACGGAGTGAGTGTTCAATACATGTTTATGGAGTTAAGTGGGGAAAAGCGGTGAGGTCTGGTCTCACTTTCACTGGGAAATGGGAAAATGTACTTCGGCAATGAAATGGAAGAGAAAAGAAGGCCTCACGCTGCGTACTGCTTTGGTTCATAAGATCAAGAATACTGACATCCCTGTACTATGAATTAACCTTTGCAGAGGAGACCACTTTAGATAATGCTCAAGCCCTACTACCATCATGTTAATAAACTGAGGAAGGGAGATTAGGGAATTCACCTAAGGTTAAACATAGTGCAAGTTCCTACAGCGACTAAGACGGACAAGTATTTTTAGTCCGTAGTGTCTTGCTCAGCCTTTGGGCAAGCAGTCAAAGGTACTAGCAGCAGGGGTCCAGAATGGAATCGCAAACGACGGTATTTGTGCCCAACTATTCCAAGCCTTAGACCTGTCTGTATTCATTGCGCATGCGTCAGCGCCCCCGCTCTGCCTTGGACTGGCGGGATAGAGCCTTTGCTCCTTCCCTTGAACTTGAGGGAGAGGAATCAAGCTGTTTCCATGGTGACGGAGCGACAGCCTCGATGGTCGATTGAGCAGGTCTGCGCGAGGTTCCCAGAGGGCTGCGCGGGTTCGGTTCTTCGGCGCTGTCATGGCGGGTGTGCTGAAGAAGGTGAGACGAATGGAGGTCACTGTTGGAATTTAGATCGTGGACGAAGAGTCAGCCCGATAGCCTTTCTTCCCACGGGGGGGTGACTATAACTGGTGCGCGCGCGGCGGTGCTTTTTGGGGATTTGTTCTGCCCTTCTTTCAGGGGGTGCCCAGGTTAGTGACTCTGCTCGTAGAAGCAGAAAATAAGTTCCGAATGAGCGGAATTGAGAGATTGTTACCTGACTTTAGACCAGATTAGCCAAGGGACTGCCGGTTTGCTTAGTAAAGGAAGAGCATGCGCGGAAACCGTAGTAAACTCGAGTCGTGTTTTGTTTTTGAACAGACCACTGGCCTCGTGGGATTGGCTGTGTGTGAGAGTCCACACGAGGTAGGTGCCTCTTTCCTTTCTTCATTCCTGGGTCCCTGAGAAAGCCTGGAACCCTGCGACCTTGTTGGTGGCAAAGATAGGGGATGTGGATATTTCAAGCCCTCAATCACAACGCCGAGAGCTCTTGAGAAGGGCAGTAGCTACCTCTTGATCCACTGTCACTTTCTTTTTTCTTTCTTTTTTGGGCCATGCCCTCTTTATTAAGCCACTTTTCTTGTTGACTTTTTCCTTGTTGACTTTTTCCTTGGTATTCTCGTTGCTGCAGTTGTATACACACTTCTGTCAGCTTCCTCCCAAATCTGTATCTCCATTTTTCATCCTTTTCCCCACCACACCAGTTCTGCTTAGGTGCCATAGATTCTACACTCTTGACTTTGCTTATGGTAGCACACTAGCAGTTACCTCCTTTTCCCTTAATATTCTGAAATGCTTTCATAAAACAAAACAAAACAAACTAAGCTTCATTTAATCCCTCCCTACCTTCAATAATCACTGTCCTTCCCTTTATGAATAACTCAAAAAAAGTATTTACAGCCTCTAATTTCTTATTCCCCTTTGAATGTACTTCAGTCAGGGTTGGCCAGAACTGTTGTTTTCAAAGTCATGAAAGATGGTCATGAAAGATGCCCGTGGTCCCAAACCCCGTGATTAGCCCATGTTTCTCAATTTAATTGATCCAACAGTAACATTTTGACAAATTTGATACTCTGCATCAAATACTTTGTTTAGTGGGTGTCACTTCCTAAATCTGCTTCCTCCTCCCCTCCTTGTCTTTTGCCTTCTCCTTTTCTGATTGTTCTTCATCATCCCATTTTTTAAAATTTTTGTAGTTCTTCAAGATTTAAGTGTTTGGATCTTTGTTTAGATTTGATCTCTCTTGGTGAGTGGACCCAGTTTTAATGGTTCTAAATACTACCATACATTCTTAAATTTCCGTATCAACTATTGACCTCTCCCTTTATGAGAGTCACGTATTTTATTGCTTAATGAACATCTCCACTGTATGTCAGACAGGTAACCCAAACTTAACATGTCCAAAATGAAGTTCCTGATCTTCCTAAAACCTGTTCTTTCCTCAGGCTTGCTCTTGTCAGTGAATGGCAGTTCCATTTTTTTGAACTCAAGTCAAAAACCTTGAAATGATCTTTGATTCCTTTCTTTATTTCACACCCTACATTTGCCACTTCTACCTTCAAAATATACCTAGATTTTGATCACATCTCACCACCTCCTCTGCCATTATCTTTTCTGCGACCATCATTGCTGCTGGGAACAATTTCATTAACTTCCTGTTTGCCTCTCCCTGTTTGCCACTATTCTTTTTCAGCCAAGAAATGTGAGGTCCTGCCATTTCTTTACTTAAAACCCTTCAATAGCTTTTCATTTCACACTGAATAAAAGTTAGGGTCCTTGTAATGACTCTAGATCACTAACACAGCATTTTACTGATTTTTCTACTAGAGATAGGTTTCATGAAGGCAGGGATTTTTTTTTTTTATTGTTCACTGTATGTTATATGGTCAGTAAATAATGTTTATTGGATGAATGCCTTGCACTTATGAATTATGAGTTCATGATGACTTTATACTTAGTATTGTGTAGAACTGAGCTTATAGTTTTCCCCTTCTAAGTATGCTGCTTCTTCATCAGACTGTATTTCTCTTAATGGTATCAGAAACTTTCTACTCCCAAGCTGTGAATTTGGATATCGTAGTGATACTTCTCTTCCCTATATCTTCCTGTTTATTTCAGTGATGAATTCTGTTGATTTTTTTTTTCTAACAGCTTTTCAGCGTGACTTTCTTATACCTACTATTACTACCACAATGTAGGCCCTTGTTCTCATTTAGAGAATTGCAACAACTTCATTATTGACTTTTTTCCACATTTCTCCTTCATTCTTTTTAACTTGCTGCCTCCTGAAACCTAGATCTAATCATATGATTTTTCTAAATCTTTTAATTACCCACACAATGAAGCCCAAATGCTTTAACTTAGAATGCAAAATTACTTACAATTTGTCTTATCCTTCTGTCTTATCTCCTCAGAATTTCCTCATATGTCCTGTATTCTGTCCAAGTGCTGTGCAATGAAAATATGAGCCACAAAACATATAAGCTGTTTTAATGTAATTTTAAATTTTCTAAAAATCACTTTCTTAATATAGAAAAAAAGACTTCTAACTGACAGATCTGACATAACCATTTCAATATATAATCAATATGAAAATATTTTATAGTTTTTTTAATACGGAATTATAAAACACATTGTATTTTTATTTAGAGAACACATCGTAGTTTGGATTAGCCCCATTTCAGGTGCTCAATAACCATAGTTGGTGTGCAGCTATGGTATTGGATAGCACAGTTCAGAAAAATAAAACTATCCTGTTTCCTTTTTGTTCCCTGTGTTTTCTGCCATTCAGTCCTATGTATTTGATGTGAAAATTGCTTTTGCCAAAGTCTTCATTTTTCCAAGTCCTACCATTCCTTTAGGTTTATCTCAGAAGTTACCTTTTCTGGTCTCTGCTGAAGTGATTCCTTCTTTCCTTGTGGAATAATAATGCTAACATTTATTTGTGCCTCCTATTATTTTAAGTGATACAATACCCAATGAGGCAGATATTATAGTCCACCTTTTACAGATGAGGAATGAAGGCACTCAAATGGAAATAACTTGTCCTTTGCAACTAAGCACTGGCAGGCAGTGAAGCCAGGCAGTCAGGTTCTAGTTAGCACACACTTAACCATTGCTTATTGCTGGTCTTTCTGTTCTACATTCTTCCCACCCCTACCATGAACATCTTTTTAAATTTTATGGCGTTGATTACCTTATAATATCTTAAACATACTGGAAATGGGATCCATGACCAATCTATCTTTATATCCAAATAGCACACAGTATAATATCATACATGGCAGTATAGTGGAATACATTCTTATTGAAAAAATAATAATCTTTAGGAGAAGTATTTATATACCTGCAGTCATTGAGATACACTTAAAGTGACTGTGTTTCTTGTTTGAATGGACTATTCTGTTTTACACCTATGTTTTGGAATAATGATTAGTGGTATCTTTCACTCATAAGGGTCCTATAGTATTCTTTTTTTCTATATTAATCATTCATGGTGCTAATGTGTATTTTTCTAGGAATAGATATATTTCTATCAGGAAAAATTAAGATATTCTAAAAACCAAATATTTAAATCAGATTATAATTTTATTAAAATGCTATCTTGAAAACTAATATGTGCCTTACGTACATGTAAATTGGAGAGGATAAGAATTAGAAATATTTGTAAGTTGAAACTGAAAGCTTAAATTAATGGTTTGTAGACATAGACAGGGAATAATTAATTGGAACCTAAGTCTATTGGCCAGGAGTTTCTATTATCTTCTTCTTTGCTAAAAATTAAGAAGAAATGAGGCTAAAAAAACCCCACACAATTGTGACTATATGTTATCTGACAAGAGCATCCTTAATCTGAAAATCTAAAGTCTAGAATGCTCAAATATGAAACTTTTTGTGTGCTGATGTGATGCCACAGATGAAAAATTTGCACTTGAAATATTGTATAAAATTACTTTCAGGCTATGTGTTTAAGGTATATATGAAATATAAATGAATTTTGTGTCTTAACTTGGGTTCCATCTGTAAGATACTTCATTATGTATATATCTATTGAATTTATATTTGAATGAAACTAGATATTAGTTTCTCTGGATTTCATACAATTAAACTGGAATAAATTTCAAGGACAGGGATATAGCTCAGTGGCTCAGTGGTAAAGGGCTTGCCCAGCATCCACGAAAACCTGGTTTCAGTCCCTAGTAGCACACACAAAAAACAAAAAGAGTTTAATTTCAATTAAATACAAAGAAAAGTACAGATTTCTTAAGTACACAGTACATTTATAATTATATTTTTACATGAACTGCTGTGGGTTAGGATCTGCCAAGACAACAACTTACCATTATTGGCTGACTGTACTCAGTGTGCTTCAGTATATGCTGGGTAGTGAATCCCTTCTATTCTTTTTCTGTTGAACTTTTGGTGAAAATTGAATTCACTTGGTGCTAACACAATTGTAATCACAAAGAAACACTGAATGTTATAATTATTCAGTTAAATTTTATTATACTAAAGATCTAATGCGTGTGTGTGTGTGTGTATGTATATATATATATATATATATATATATATATATGTATAATTTCTATACAAGTTCAACTAAGAAAAACAGAAAAAAAATTTATAGTGCCTAGGACCTCAGTTAGAGAAATATTGATCTGCTAAATGATTTGATTTCCAAGAAAGGTCATCAGCTTTAAGTTAGTTTTATTTCTGCTCATTATTATACCTGGACTCATGTACAACTTTTATTGCGCATACAAGACATAGAAAGAGTTTCCACATTTATATTCAGTTTTCCAGAGTTGTAAAGGGTAGAGATAGGGTACAGACAGAAAAAATTACAGTGAAGAAAAATTAAATTTTCTTTAAAAACATAAGATGTGAATCCTTTTAAAATTTTCTGTGAAATTCTTGTTTAAATGTTCTTTCTAATCTTTGGTGATATTTTAACCTATAGAAATTTGTATGGCTTGTCTTTTCAGAGGCTCAGAATATTGTACACAAAGATTCTTGATGTTCTTGAGCAAATCCCTAAAAATGCAGCGTATAGAAAATATACAGAGCAGATTACAAATGAGAAACTGGGAATGGTTAAAGCGGTAAGTAGCTAACTCATTTTTGTTCTTTTGGATTTATGTAGCCTATGTTACATTTAACCAAAAAATTCATTTGCTTCTTTTGCACTTCCTGTACAATTGCTCTCTTATTTGTATTCTCCTTCCTTCAGTGCTTTTTTTCCATCTTTTCTCCTTTTCATTTAGCAAACTCTTGTTTAATAAGTGCTTTCTAAATGCAAAACACTGTTAATTACTAGAATGCAAGAATCAGATCAAGTCCTTCTCTGAGGTAACATTGTAGCTGTACCTTTTACTTTTCTTCTCTGTATAGTTTAATTCTTTATTGATATTTTGCATTTAATTGGTAGATACTGGGCAGGAACTTTGTTGTCACTTTGATATTGGGCTTCTGGTCTCCAGAACTCTAAGAGAATAAATTTCTGTTCTTTAAGTCATCTAGTCTATGTATTTTGTTATGGCAGCCAAGCAAACTAATACAAGCATTTTACAACTTAAATATCAAAGGCACGGGGCTGGGGATGTGGCTTAAGCGGTAGCACGCTTGCCTGGCATGCGTGCAGCCCGGGTTCGATCCCCAGCACCACTTACAAACAAAGATGTTGTGTATGCTGAAAACTAACTAACTAAATAAATAAATATTAAATCAATCTCTCTCTCTCTCTCTCTTTCTGAAAAAAAAATTAAAAAAAAAATCAAAGGCACTAGACAAGAACACAGTAAACTACTGCTGTTTTTTTTTCATACCAAACTGTATTGCCTTGTTAAATTTTCATACAAATAATTTCATCAATTATTTCATGAGCTTTATGTTATTTTCAAAAGTAGTGGTCATAAATTCCGGAAGTATTTTATATACATTCAAAAGTGATCTTAATTTATATTTATTATTCTTATTAGATCACCAATCTTTATATTTGAAAAGAACTCCTGCCTTTTCCTTTGATATACAGCAGGATAATGCAACTTAATTTGGAATTTTTGTTCTTACCTTGGCAATTGTGGAAGTAATTTTATAGATTGAAGTCTCTAATACGGAAGTTCATTTTTTTTTTTTTTCATTTTGTTTTCATGTTTTCCTTGAGTGAGGAAATTTTTTTCCCTATCATGGAATAAGAAATTTCCCTTTTTCTTTTCATGAAGTGAACCTACTCAATTCCATCTTTTATTTCTTTTTTCTGTCTTTCTTCTCAATAATCTTGTTCTCCTTTGTTTATTCTGTATGTTCCCTTTTTTAGACTCTCCCATTTTATTATCATATTTAATAACCTCAAGATAATAGTAGTGTTGTTTTTCAATATGTAAATCTTACGTTAACTTCCTGCTTAAAATCTTAGTATTTTACTGTTCAGTGTTTCTCAGAGACTGAGTTTAAGGACTTATGCTAAGGTGGTTATGTGAAGCTAACCTTTATCTGCATAATTTTTACACAGACCCATGTTTGGGAATCAGGATCTTAACAGAATAAAGTTTTTAGCATGGTATATACAGTCCTCTGAGATCTGGCTCTTAGTTTTCTTCTCAATCCTATTCTGTCATTTCCTCTTACACCCTATACTTCAGCAACATCAAGCTGCTGGCAATTTTGTGAATTCCATGCAATTTTATTTTTATATTATTTGTATTTTCTCTCTTCCTGGAAGGCCCCTAACCTTGTCTAGCTGGCAGTTTGCTATGGTTTGAATATTCCTCTCTAAAATTTTGGTGTTGAAACTTAATGGCCAGCATGGTACTATTAAGCAGTGATTGGTCCGTGAGTACTTCTCCCTTATGAATGAGATTAAGGCTTTTATAAATAAAGAGACTTTGTACAATTTAGGCTTTCTCTTGCCCTTTGCATCCACCACTTAAGAACATAGTGTTTCTTCCCTTTCTGAGGCTATAGCCCTCACTGGACACCTAAACTTACCAATGTCTTAATCTTGGACTTTCCGCTTTCCAGAACTGTGAGAAAATTTAGTTTATAATCTATATAGTCTCAGGTGTTTTGTTGTACCAGCACAAATAGATTAAGATAGTTCTTGAAACTCAGTTTTCAAGTATTCACTTCCTTTGTGACACTTTTTCTTACCTCCCTGAGTTTGACAACTTCCTTACATCTCTTATTGTACCTATCACATTATATTTATGCCTGTCTCATCTACTAGTCATAAGCTACTTATGAATGATATTGAATTAATCTTTATACCCTAAGATCTAGCATAGTACCTGACACATGAGCCCTTAGAAGTATTTGTTTATTCAAATGACTAAATACAAATAGATTTTGATAATCCCAAGCATTTCATAATAGTTATATCTTTGATTTTACAGAAAATTTTACCAGTTTTTGGTAGAATTATCACATTTTTTAACCATTCACATAGTCATCCATGAATATTGTTATGATGATCAAATCTCTATTTTCCAAGCCTAAGATGGAAATGAAAATTTTTTTTATATTATTACTTGGGAAAGATAGTAATAGCATATTGGTGAAAAACATTGGTTTGTATCTTGTCCAAGATTTTCATCAGCTCTGATTTGCTGAGTAACATGGTCTACTTTTTATTTTTTCTGTCTCAACTTCTTCATCTATAACTTGGGTATAATAACCTACCTTAAACACTTGTTGTTAGGATGAAATAGGTAATATATGTAAAAAGCTTAATCTGGTCTCAAGGACAGAGTGAGTACTCAATATATATCTTATTAAGCTTAATGCATTGGTAAATAAAAATCACATTATTGATTTACCATCAGTGAAACAAATTTATAAACTGTTTTTCAAAACAGTTTATAACAGGTCTTTCCCGAGTAGAAAATTTTGTTGAACATTCCTTGGCTTCTTTACCTTTTACCCCCTTCTGGTTCTTTTATAACTGTGATCTGCTTTCTTGTTTTGCTTTTGAGTTTTGGCCTCATTACTGAGTTAACTTGGTATTAAATTGTCTTTCTGAAACATGCTCATGTTATTTCTTTTTCCTCCCTTTTCAACTATTTTTAAAGTTATTATCTATTTAACCAAGAAATATTTATTGAATGACTGTTTATGCCATGAATAGTTCTAGGCATGGACACTAGTTCCTAGACGACAGTAAAAACAACAGATAAAAATCCTTGCCCTTAGAAATTACACATTAATGATGGGAAGCCCCAAAATAAATTAGTAAAAATGTAAATAAATGAAGTATAGAGTATATTAGAAGGTAGAAAGTATAGTGAAGAAAATAAAGCAAGGAATAATGATTTGTGCCATGTTAGGGATGGGAGATCTTATCTGTAAACTGTATTAGTATCTTGTGGCTGCTGTGTAACAAATTAACACAGATTTTATGGCTCTAAGATAATAGAAATTTACTATTTTATTTCTACAGGCTTAATAATCTGAAATTGGTATCAGGAGCCCACATCAAATTGTTAGGGCTATGTTCTCTCTTGTGTCTCTGGGGTAGACTTTGTTTCTTGTCTCTGCCAGCTTCTGGTGAGTTCAGATTGCTTGGCTGTGGCTGCATCACTCTGATTTCTGACAACATAGTAGATTACCATCTCTTTCTTTCTCTCTGTCTCAGTGTAATTTCCCTTTACTTTTTTTTTTAATCAGGAAAGTCCCCCCATCTTAAGGTTTTAATGAAACCCACAAAGCTTTGCCACAGAAGATCATAAGATAATATTCACAAGCTCTAGGGATTAATAAATACTTAAACATTTTGTGGGGCATTATTCAGCCTACTACAATGTGAGTTATCAGTAGTCCTTATTAAGAAGGTGATATTTGAGCAAAGATTTGGAGAGGGTGAAGGAATAATCCATGCAGAATTCTAGGCCATTCAGATTCTCTGAAGCAGGAACATATAGGAATTCCTATAATTAAAATAAATAAATAAATAAATAGAATCCTTGTTTTTCTCTTTTTAAAAATACTATTATAGAACATAAAACCACCTGATAATGATGAAGGCTTTCTTACATATGTGGTATATGGCATGGTTCCTGACTGACTCTCAAAAAGTTTAGTATACTAGAAAATAAATAATTGACATTAAATGTTCTAGATACTATATTTATTAGAATTTTTTCTTTCCAGTACTGAGGATCAGACCCAGGGCTTCACCCATGCCAGGCAAGCATTCTACCACTGAGCTACATCCCCAGCCCAACAGTTCTTTTTAAAAATCATTTTATTAAAGTATAATGTATATAAAAATATACAGAAATTATAGTGAATTTTCACGAAGTGATCATACTCAAGTGAATACCAGACTAAAGGATATTTCTAGAACTCTAAACCCCTTGTTTCTTTAAAGTTACCATCCTGCTAACAGTAACTATTATTCTTATCTTTAACATGATAGATTCATTTACCTTTTTTTGAACTTTGTATAAATGGAATAATTATTATGTACTCTTTTGTGTCTGATTTCTTTCCATGTAATATTATGTGTGAGAGAATCATCTATTTTTGTGTATAGTTTGTTTTTTCATTTTCATCAGCAAATAGTATTCTATTATATTCAAATATCATAATTTTTTGATCTTTTTTATCATAGATTTAATTTATTTCTAGTTTGGGAGCTACAAATTGTACTGCTGTGTTCTGGAATATGTTATTTGTTTTATATATACCCAGCAGAGGAATTTCTGGGGTCATACGATAGCATTTTTTTTTTAATACCTTTATTTAATTTATTTATTTTTATGTGGTGCTAAGGATCGATTGCTCTACCACTGAGCCACAACCCTAGCTCCAGCATTTTTAAATATTTGTTTATTTATTTTTTGGTACCTGGGATTAAAGCCAGGGGCACTTAACCATTGACATCTCCAGCCAATTTTAATTTTGAGATAGGGTCTCACTAAGTTGCTTAGGGCCTCTCTAATTTGCTGGGGCTGGCTTTGAGCTTGAGATCCTCTTGCTTCAGCCTCCTGAGTCACTTGATTACAGGCATGGGCCACTGTGCCTGGCTTATTTTCAATGTTAATATTCTCAGATGAAATACAGAAAACATTAAGAAAAGCAAAGTGATATTTTAAAATCTATTTTAGAAAGAATGAATTAGGCATCATATGCCTTACCTTTAATAAGCATATCAACAAATAATACTTTTTAACATTAAGACAAAAAAACAATGTAGCAGCGGAGAGAGTAAATGATTTTTACCAATTATTTGGTAAAAGTTTAGTGAGGGCATGTTGATAGGAAAATTATGTTTGTTGTAAGTGCTTTTTATATATGGGTTTTAAAATATAGGGTCTTAAAACATTCAGATATTGTGTTTCAGTAGCTAATATTTTTTTTTTTCCCTGAAATGACAGGAATCAGATGTTAAAAAATTAGAAGAGCAACTTCAGCATGGCCAAATAGAAGAGGTGATTCTTCAGGTAAAGAAAAAGTTGAACATTTAAATGTTTGATTTCAAATGTTCATTTTATATAGACACACAAAACTGATAAAAGAAAGCTAAATTTCTTTGCTTTATATATTAATTTATCAAATATAAGACTATATTTAGAAAATGTGCTACTTCTGACATGTGAATGTCACTTAAGTCTTTTATTATTATTTCTAACTTGAATTTTTGAGGCTTCATTTGGAAGATTGGAGTTTGATATTCTTTCAGTTTAGTTAACTGAAAGGTTAGTAACAGTGTGAATACAGTTTTATATTTAAAGAGCTTGGTATACTTTTAACATGGAGAAAAAAAAATGTCTGGAATCATAAAATTAAAATATACTTGTTTTTTGGTTATTGGAGCATTTGACCAAGTTAAAAGCAGCTTTTAATTGCACAGTATATTGAAAGTTTGATTTTACATTGTTATCTGCATACTAATCCTGACAAATAATGATACTGAATAATAAAATACAAGCATGATTATGAAAAATTATCATTAACAGCATTACATCTAGAATATGTAAATTTTAAATTATTCTATTTGGAAATATTTTATCCTATCCTCATTGTGGCCATTACTTATACAAGAAAAAAGATACTCAGTTTAATTTTGTTTAACTAGAATTTGCATTCTTTCCCCTTATTCATAGATGGGTAACAGAAATGGGCAAGAGAAGAAAACACTAGAAAAATACTGCTCTGAGCATTTGATATTTTTTAAAATCATCTATAATATTTTTGTTGGTAAAAATGTAATATTTTTTGCATTAGAGCATAGTGAATTTAACGTATCGTCTTAAAAATGGCTTAAAGAAGTCATGATAATACTATGGCTTAAATTTAAATGGATTATGTTAAAATGGACTTAAATTGGCCCAAGCTACATTCTAAAATTAGTTGTCACAAGTAACTTCTTTTCATTAGAACAATTTCTTCTTGTATCTTTTAATAATTTAGAGAGCTGAATATATGGCAGTATGACCTTTTCTTCAGTGAAATATGGCTGACTGCCTAGAAGATAATTGTGCTTAACAACTTTTTTGGTAGAATTTGTTTTTTATAAAAGTATTTTAGTATCATTACAGAATTTTTTTAAAAATAGAGGAAAATCTTTTCCTATTATGAATAACACTGTGACTATGATGGTTGTACAAACAGCTTTTTCTATTTTTTGTTATTAGGATCAGTACCTTTAGGTAAAATTACTAGTGAAAATCTCTTACATAATAATTAGTTAAATTTTTGGACCATAATACCAAATTATTTTCTGATAGGAATAATCTCTAGTGCCACAACAGTATTTCAAAATACTGGCTTTAATACATCTATGCTGATAAGAATGCAATTTAATTTAATTAGAGAAAATGATGCCTCATTTTTATTTGACTTTTTGTTTTAAATAGTCCATTTCCCCCCATTTACTAGTAAGGTTAAATTTTTGGAATATGTTCTTATCTTTCATTTATTATAAATTATATTCATTAATATTTTTACCATGCTATTTGATCTTAATTTTTTTAAATATTAAGATTTGAGTTTTTTTTTTTTTAATAATAAAAGACATTAACCTAAACTTTTGCCATATTGTCTGCACATCTTTTAGTTATTTCAAGGCCTGTTTTCTTGGCCCTTTTATTCACTTGTCAGGTTGATTGTGATAGTAGATAAAGTGCTAAGGGAACTCTGCAAACCTCTTGACTATTGTCCTCTTCCTGCTTCTATGTTCTGTTTCACTTTCATCAGATTGAGTTTAGTTGATACGTTATTTGATCATACAGTTATAGTCTTAAGGAATTTTCAGTAGTCTTAAGGAATTTTCAGTATTTTTGAGTCATCTTAGCACTTCTTCACATTTTATGGCAATATTAAAATATAAATTAATTTAATGTTTCTTTAACCTGATATGTTGAAAATATTATTTAAGTGTAACCATTGTAAAAGAGATATTTTATATATTTTTTAATATTAAGTTTTCAAAATCTAGTGTGTAGAAATAATTCAGAAGTTTAAAATTGCATGATGTTCAGAGTAGCTTAATGAAATCTCACACTATCCCATTCTGTAATGCCAGGGATATGAGTCATCCTGTTGTTCATTGTATCTATGCTGTATGTACTACCTGACCATTAGTTACATAGTAGAACCACTAAATAGAATAAGTGTCATGCATTTTATGGTGAAATAAATCATGAGATATTAATATGAAAGTAGTAGCTCTTATAGTTACATTTTAGTTACTAACTATTTTAAGTACCTGTTGAACAGTCAATCAAATTATGTTTTTTAAAAATTTTTATGACAGGCTGAAAATGAACTAAGTCTGGCAAGAAAAATGCTGCAGTGGAAACCATGGGAGCCATTAATAGAAGAACCTCCTGCCAACCAGTGGAAATGGCCAATATAATCATTACATGTATTCTGTGGGCTGATGGGAAACTGATTTAATTAAGTGTTCTGTTATTTTTAAAATGTTTCCATGTATTGACATAATCAAGAAAACTGACACAGAACACATTGAAGAGACTAGTGTTTATGGTAATAGGGTCGTATGAATCAGTTTTTGATAAGCAGAGTATTTGTGCAGATTATTTCAAAGATGGAATTTCTTTAAACAGAAAGTTTGAGGGAAGATTTGAAAGTTAATTAGAAAAATTCCTATAGATCTTTATTTCAGAGGTCAAAATCAAAAGTTTCAGTATCTTTAGTATGTTACTTAATTTCATTTCATTATCCTGATAAAAAGAAAAGGCACTTTATTATTACTGTCTAAACAAATTTACTGGTCACCATTTGAGATGAAGTAGTAAGCATGAAAATGGTTAGTTGTGAGAATAATGGCAAAAATAGTTCATGATAAAATTTTAAATTGTTGACCTCCTTGGCTGTGATCTTATGTATAAAGGAAAACTTAAATATATGATTCTGTAATGACTATCAAATCCATTATAAATGTCATTTTATTTTAGGCTGCGTTTGGATTATTTACTCTATTTTCATTATTTCCATTTTATCTTCATTTTGTCACATTTTGTTGTTACTTTATTAGCCTTGAAAACCATCTGATTAGAACTCATTGTACAATTGAAGAATTGATTTTTGGTACTTGAAAGATTTCTTATTTTTACATAGGTTGTTGGATAAGCTTTTCCTTTTGTTTCATTTAAGGAAGTTATCTGGCCCTTAGCCTTTAGTTTTATTGATCAACCCAACTATACTAGGATGGATGTAGAATTTCTTTTAAAAATGGTAGTAGGAGTTCCTGAAGTTTACCTGGCACACATGAGTATATTCAAAATATCTTAGTCATATGGGTATTATTTCAAAGTGGAATCACTAAGTAGTTTTCACTGTTTGTAGTATGCATGCCAGGTAGGTATCAAACAGAAGACAAATGCTGTTCAAGGAAAGAAGTTGGCAAGCTCAAGTTTGACAAAAATCAAATTACTTTGCATCTGTCTTCGCTTTTTCTTCCTAGCTCCCCATTATTTCCAAATACCCAGTTAAATTTATTTTTTTTCTTCATAGATAAATCATAAATACTTCCCTCTCTGTGTGTGGGCATTTATGTGTGTGCTCTCTCTTCCGGCTAAACTGAATTATTCAAAATGAGGAAAAAAAATTGTATTTTTTCTTTAGGAAAAAGAAAAAATATATTTCTCCCTTATAAAGCTATAACCTAATACTAAATTAATATTAAGTAGGTAAGTTGGGTTACTTCTTAGCCATCAGATTACAAGGGAGCTTCTTGTGGAGGGCAAGCAGAAGTATTAAGGGAGAGTCAAGCCCAGGGTTCTCATTCCTGTGGTTCTAGCACCATTGTGAGTTCAGTGGCTAAGGTGAGGAAGGTTGTTAGTCCCTCAGATTATTTAACTTCCTTTTTCAGTTCAACATTTACTTAAATATGTAGTATATTTGCTAAGGTCAAAATATGTAACCCTAAAGCATGTGTGCATGGATGCTGTCAAGCTAATTTTCTAACCAAATTTTTTAGGATACTTTGGGGACATTAAAAAAATTGTTTTGCTGTGTCTTTACTTTCAGTCCCATTTCTCCCATGATTTTTGAGTATCTTTTATATTTCACCAGCAGTGCTTCTATAGCTTTGTTATTTAAAGGAGACTTTATTCGTGTTTGCAATAGAATTGCCAGTTTTAGAATAACGTACTTGTGGAATAATAGCTAGTATGTAAACCTAATAGTTAATGATTTCTGAGACAAATATGAATGTCAGGTACTGTGCTAAGTACTTTCATTCATTAAATCTACACCACAACTTGGTAAGAGGAAGATACTGTGAACTATCTCTGTTCTCATAATGAAATGGAATCCATCATGAATAGTGCTGCCCTATTCTGTGTAATGTGGGGTGCTGGAGGAACTGAGACAAAGAAATTATTTAATAATATATTCAAGGTCATATAGACATGGAGTTAAATTTTGAACCTAGACAGTCTGGTTCTAGAATTCATGCTCCTAACTTTATGTTATGTTGTTCTTTACTAATATGCTTGGGATGCTGTCATTTCTGCCTATACCATATCAGCTGAATCCAACAAACCTAGATCTTGCTCCCTTGAATTTTCTGTCAAAGTAATTGTAAAGAATAATATGAACAGAAGTAGTAAACTGGATTTCTCTTTGTGCAATGATCTTTGGATTTGCACAAAATGTTAAAAGGACTGATATCAAAAAGGCAGTGCGATTTGGTCCATCACTCTTTTGCATTTACTGGCATTACAACTGCGTGCACAACTTTACACCTGATTGTTCTTATTCTTTCAAATCTTTTACCATTTGCTTCCTATAAACTTCCATATTAAGTATTCTGACCATTTTGCAAATGATTCTTCTATTCACAGATCTTCAGTGTTGCTGAGTGGTTTCTAGACTAATTTGAATAATTTTCAGAATGGTTTATTTTGGTTTGCAGTAGGCTCCTGATAGGAGGTTAATCACCTTACTCTGACTGCTTCAGAAGAAAGAGAACTAATCAATTTGAGCTTTGCAAACAAGAAAATGATATCAAAATTGATACCCCTTTCACACCCATACTTCAGAATATTTTAATTTCTGGACATTTTTTCAGATGAAATGACTTTTATTTGGGATAATCAACTTGGAATGATTTTGAAGTGAAAGAAGGTATTAATAATTTCATAAGGATGATAGGTATCCTGTACAAACAGGACGTAGGGCCCCCTACTGAAATAAGGCTCAGATCTCAGGGTTGCCATTCTTCCTATAACAGCAGGAGCTGGACAACTAAACAAACTGTCATTTGTAGCGAATGTGATGCTGTCAGGTTTCCATGTGTCCTTTTACAATATTCTCTCACCCTGCCTTTCCCTCAAATTGGTGGATGAAAGAAAAAATGCTAATCTTATGAGCTTTTTCCTTTTCTCATCCTAATATTCAGTCAGAAATATAAGGCTAGGTATTTTTTTTAAAAAAGATAATACCTATGACTATTTACAAAGGAAGAAAAAATAATGTCTGTAGGAATATCCTCATATATAAGCTAATATCAATCCCCCCCCACCTCCCCAGCCTCCATGGTTATATAAACAGAAGTTAATCCCCCTGTACAAGTGTATTCTGGGGTTTAGGGTTAAGTACCAAGTTGTTGAGCATATAATAAGTATATTTTTGTATTTACTGAATGCTATTTTTTCCATTAAAACCTGATTTTCAGTGAGATTCTAGATTTTAGATTTAATGTGATAAAGGATTTGAGTTATTGATGGGGACTGGAGAAATTTATTTGAAAATTTATTTAGAAGTAATAAGCTAAAACTCTAGGTAGTTAATAAAAGTAGTGAGAAAATAAGTGACTTTGCATAGGCTTTCCTAAATGCCAGAATTTTAATGTTTCTTTTTCATACTACTTTTCTAAGAAGAGTTGATAAAGAGTGCTCATATAAAGGAGCCAGGCTAATCATGGTGCCATCAACACAAACTTCCATGAACATAGTGGTAGGGTATGGGAACATAGGAGCAAATCATACAAAGAAACCAAAAAACAAATTCAAGGTTTTTGGTTTTTTTTTGGAATGTTCCATAGAGTTTGCCATGCATTGCTTAAAACTATCAAAGTGATCTTATAGTAGCTATTTTTTTTGTTCTGTGTTTATATGTAAGTTACTATAGATTAGCTTCTATAAGTGACTGAAAACATTGCAAAGATTCTTTTTGTGGATTTCTCATGATCTTCAAAACAAAAATTATTAGCTGAATCCTTTAACTTTCCTAAAGATAAGTATTATTTTATAATCATTGTATTTTAATCTTTTCCTCTAACTGTAGGGTGTACTCCTTTTCTCAAGGGCAAAACAGGCTCATGATTACTTATCTAAATTTTACAAATCTCTTAAAGTGCAGTTTTTCATAACTCATTTGAAAACAAAACAACTGATGGAAGGCTATTTGTGGTCTTTATTCCATCTTAATATGAGTATATTTTTGCCATATAAGTATTAATGTATTTGATTCTCGACTGTTTCCCAGACTCACTGAATGCGTTATGTAATATAAAATATATGCCCATATTACCTTTCAGAAATCAGAAATATTCTATAAATATAAAAAATCTGATTCACCCAGAAAGTTTTCAAAAAAGTTACTCTCCATCTGTATTTCCTGTCTCTTAACAATTTCACAAACAAGATACTAATTTAATCTATATAGATAATTCCCAAAACATAATTTTCAGATCCTTAATTTTCTCAATTATTATTCTAATATTTGTTTATGTCAACTTGGCATAGCAGTGGAAGATGCTTCAAAGTAATTTATTTCATAAAGCCACTAGATGGCATCTTTGTAAAAATATAAGCACATCAAAAGAAGGACTTATTGTTTATATAAATGTTGAGATAAATGAAAGGAGATGTTTCATAAGAAATAAAAGTCATTTTGAACAATAAATCCTGAGAAAATGCATAGATTTATGGTTAAAAACAAAATGGAAAATGATACTGAAAATTACTCTTCTACTTTTGAAATTGAATTTTTTTCCTAATGATCATTTTCATTCATTTTACATTCACATATAATGAAGCAACTGTGTGTGTGTTTGTGTGTGTGTGTGTGTGTGTGTGTGTGTATGTGATTTTGACATGCTAACAATCTCTTCAGGCTGCACAAACTACCTAGAAATTCTACAGATTAGGTAAGATATTGTAAAATTGAGTTGTGTAAAGTCAATTCCATGCACACTGTAAACAAAATATGAACATATACTGGGTAACAGGTCACATTTAACACTGTGAGACTAATACTTAGAGTTCTCTACTGTCTGTTTTTTCTTCCCTCCAATTCCTGTCATATCCCTAATGCTAGTGTTTTCAAACTGCCTGTAACATGATCATGAGTGACAAATTTTAAAGAAAAGACAAAAAAGTGTTAAAACCAATGTAATTCTTATTGCTAGTAAAAATTTAAGATGCATTATAATTTTGGAGCTGGGAGTGGGTTTTTGGAAAAACTTGTCTGTGTACCTCCACACCTGGTCTACCTTTATCCTTTGCTGGAATGTATGGAAGTGATTCAAATGGACTTGCATTTACTTAAAATCATTCCTATAGCAAAACCAATTTATTTAAGAATACAGTACTTCATATTCTAATAAGAAATATGCATTTTGAAACAGCATAGCTGGAATGTATCCCATTTCAAAAATGGTATTGGACGTTAGGAAGTCACTGAAGAGATGAGTGCAATTTTAGCAAAATGGCATAAAGAAATGACACCATTATGAATGAGGGAGTGGACCTGTACTATGTAAACAAAAATTTTAGTTTATTTTACATCCGTTTTAAATATGGAAGGGTGTTGAATAGTGGTTTAAAATCTGGGCTCAAGTCAGACTGCTTGGGTTTAATCCTTGGTTTCTCTTTAAACCTCTTTGTGCCTTAGTTTTCTCAGTAAAATGGAGCTCATACTAGATCCTCAATAAAATCTTTGTAAGCATTAAGTTAAAAATATAAGTAAGGTGCTTAGTAACAATACGTTTTACGTGCTATTATGAGATAGTAGCATGAAATTTGTTGATATAGTAGGCACTTGCTGTTGTACACACCAAGTTCTCCTTTGTCAATTGCTTAACCTCTCCACTTGATATTTCTATTTTCTTGGATTCTGATTTTTTAAAAACCTGTAAGCTTAAATTGTGATCAGCATTTGTTTCAGAGAAACATTCATTTCCTTTCAAAAATGTAAACGTTCTTGGGGAATGGTTACTCCCCGACCTAGGTAACCACTGGGCACACCCCTACTCTGGGCCTGGTGCACTCAAGGAACTCCTCAGTGCTGGAGGGCGGGGCCCAGCAGGAGGGAGGGACGCTAAGGCCGTTGCTAGGATATGGCCTGCAAGAGTCTTTTGAAGACTTGTGCTGCTTGGAAGAGCCTCCAAAACCGCTTGGTCCGGGATAGCTGTATTTATTAGCCAGGTAGGACAGGTGTGGCTGCCCTTTCCTTGGGATCCCCCGCGCTCTGCGGCTACCTGCCCAGTCCGGATGTTCCACTTCAAAAGCCTGAGAAGCGTCCTTTCTAGCTTCGCCTCTCTGATTTGGGATTTGCAGCAGCGTCAAGCTAGGAGGTGTACATCCCCTCACACCCAAAGTGCTTATCGCGGAAATAGTACAGAAGCAAAACGTAAGTGTAGCCCATGTCTGGCGTTAGAAAACATTTCGCCTTCCCTCATTCCTTAGTAAGCCGAGGGCTTTCAGACTTTGCTCACCAGTCACTCTGTTCCTCTACTTCGGACTTCGCCTCTTAACAAACAAAAATTCACCAGGCCAATCTGGTAGAAAGCAGGACTGGATCTCTGTCCTAATACTTACACCAACAAGCTTTAAATGGTAAATGAAATCGTGCATTGCAAGTGACAAGGGAGCTTTATTTGGTATGCATTCATAATAGAAACTGCTTTTTATTTTAGTAAAATCAAAACGTTTAGATAATACATGAATGATTAAAAGTTCAAAGAGTGAAAAAAATGAGCCATGATCATTCTGCCTTTTACCTGTAGTTACACCTGTACATTGTACATACTGTTCTGCACTTTGTTTTTACATTCAATACTATATATTTTGGAATCAGTTTCCATCATTGATGGATTCACCTCATTTTATGTGTGTACTTACATTTCATTGTGAGAAGGTTTTCTAAGCATATGGTGAAATTTGAAACTCTTATAAGCAAAAATATGGATACATTTCACTACCTAACAATTTAAAACTTGGATATAGCAAAAGACAACATAAACAACACATGTAAGGGAAATATAACCACACACTTAACAAAAGAGTATTTAATTAAAACTAATAAAAAATATAAGAACACAAGGAAGCAGTCAAGGGGCTGTTCATGAGTCTGTAGTATGGTGCTGCCTTTTTGGAAAGCAATTTGATGGGCTTTAACAGAATTAAATCTGCATATTCTTTGATTTGCTTATTCTAGTTCTAGAAATATATACTTACACTTGTATACCAAGGTAAAGGTACAAGGTGTTTGGGCAACAGCTAAATATAAAGTGGACTTGGTCCTGTGATGAAGTTGTTGAAAAGAATGAGGTAGAAGAGTATGTTTTACATAGAAATAAGTGTTAAGAATGGGTTACGTAAATATTAAATAAAAGTAAGTTGTAAAAGAATCAGTTTTAAATATATAATAATAATTTACATATATAAAGATATGTTTATATGATCATAAACAAATTTAAATATATAATTGTACCTTCATAGACAGTTTCTGAAAAGATAAACTCTAAACATTGCCTAACATTGAGAAATAAAATTAAGGTATCTGGCAAATAAGAAGATACACTTTC